TCACTGGACTACAGTTCGATTGGAATGTTAATTGCTAGCGCTGCATGATAATAGATACTGGACTATTATAAGGTGTCGCTGCATGATAAAATTAATAAATGGACTATTGGTCGAATATTTAAGACTTTAATTAAGTTTGCAATTTTTACGTTAGTCGCGTGACTGGTTTGACGACCCCTAGATCCGCCCCTGCTTGTACTGTTAGTGTTTATATACATCGTACTTGACCTTTACTGATAAATCTCCTCAAGAATGAGTATTATATATTTTTATGCTTTAAAATTTACATTTAACTCTCCTGACAGAATTTATGGTATACGTAGTGTTAAGTACGACAGTATACATATAATTATACAAACATTAACAGCACCAGTCGAAGCGCCTTCGCTCGAAATATCGAAGTTCTCCTTGCATTTTTCAGGTAGTTGTATCCCTATCAATTCGAAGCTTTCGCACATATTCCCTCCAGAATTTCTAGTTGTTTTTAATCGATTTCAGTGTAAAAAAGTAGCAAATTTTCGACGAGAAATTCCAAATACTTTGTTTATATTTTGCAACAATTGCCAAGCATGCGTAGAACTCACGTTGGAAATCCAACATACTATCTGCCGTTAGCTTAGCCAATCACAGGCCTGAATCAATTCGATTTCTCCAGAGCTATGCCCACCCTTAACCTGCGAACGGGCATGCTCGGGGAACGAGATTGAAACGCACACGAAACGATTTGAATAGATTAATTAAGAATACAAAAGCAATTCACTTTCCAAATACTTTAAATGACTGTGAAAACAACCCAAAGAAAATGTGGAAAACAATTAATAAACTTACAAACAAACAGTCAAAACTACTCTTATATCCGAAATCTGGAACGATAATCAAACTTTTGACTAAAAAACATAAAATTGCAGATGCTTTAAATTCGCATTTCAATGAAGTTGTATCCCGCTTGGTTAAAAACATGCCACAGAGCTTTTTTTATTATATATAAACGACCTGCCAAATTGCCTGACCTCATCTTCAGCAAGCATGTTTGCCGATGACACAAATATTTCAACCAATGGCAAGACAAATGACGAACTATGGGAACGCATAAACGTGAACTTAGAAAATGTACACCAATGGTTACTTGCAAACAAACTTAACAAAGATAAAACTGAATCAATGATTATCGGCTCAAGACAATAAATTTCAAACTTAGTAACGGACCCTAAAATTGAGCTATGGAATCATCAAATCCAAACTACTGTAACGAAAGCTTCAAAATGTAGCAATGATGAGGCGAATAAAACAGTTTGTTCCCAAACCAACCTTACTAAAAATATATAATGCCATTGTTAGGCTGTTTGTTGTAACCTCGAAAAGTGCCTAGAAAAAAATATTCATTTCCCATGTCTTGGAACTGAAATATTTTTACGGGATCACACTTTCCAACACGCTGAGTTCAAATCCGAAAAGTTCCCGCTCCGTAGACTTGCAGTTTTCTCACGAACTGCTATTTTTAAAATCTTCACTAATATCACGACAAACTTTTGTATTGTTCAACGACACGGATCGATGACGACAAACGATTAGAAATTAACCAGTTGTCCTTTTAAAAAAAGACTGTTTTGCTCGGATCATCAGGGACGCCGGAACGATGTGAAGGCAAGGGGTAGATTTTCGTGAAAGGGCACTTTATGAATTGATATATGCTAAGAGATGTTTGCAAAACATCGGGAGTTGAACTTCACCTAATCATGTTTTCTATTTATTGGATGATATAGGGGTGTGAGGGGGTTCTTCGCCAGGCGATTGTGCTATTCTTGAAGCTCGATGACTGTATTTCTTGCGTTTTCTGCAGCAAATTCGTAAAAGAATTGCACTAACATTTCTGACAATTCGCCACTTCGCCAAGACAATCCTTTAAATTGAAAGGGCACCTTTGGCCCCCTTGCCCCTCCGGGTAAAGGACAACAGGGGTGGCTGCCCCTCTTGCCCCCCCCCCCTCCCTCAGTTCCGGCGTCCCTGCGAATCATTTTGAGTTATGTAATCTTATAAAATATGTACATTCCGCAAGGATTCCATAATGGTGTGATTTGACACCTAAAAGCTTGATAAATACGAAAACAAAAAACATATAAACATAATAATTAACACACAATAACCTGTCAAAGTTGGATTATACCTTTTTTATACACCCTGTAGATGATTTATTAATCATTCGTTCATATAGCATATAGTTACAAGATAAAACAAAATTATCTAAATATATACAATAAAATGTAGACTCTTTATCTGAGACTTTGGTTGATCTAACCTATTTACAAATCAAATTCTTTTGGCACTATACACGTATCGCTCGCAGACGTGTATTTAACATTATCGAAGGCTTAATACGCATCTGATTGGTTAATCAGATATATTAAACGTATCTGATTGGTAATTGGCTCCTTTATGGTAACGGTAGCGGATGCGGAAGTCAAATCTGAATCTGCCTACTTAATTGTGTTGAGTTATCCTGTTATGGCAATAGTCTAGGACCTGTATATGAGTTTGCATGCATTTCATTTAGGACAGATAATCTCAACTGTTTTGGGGCAAGTTGACCATGACGGTCAACATGGTAACGCTGCCCGAACCCCAATCCGGGGCGAAACGTCCGAAACTGACCACACCCTAAACGACGCTTTCACCATACTGCTATCTACCAAACCATAAAAGCTTTGGCTATTCTGAGGTGCTTATATGGTTCAGAGATGGTACTTTTGGGGGGTGTTCATTGGTAAGTGTGAAATACCTAGCACTAATATTTCACAAGAAAATGGCCATGCAATAATCATAGTTAAACGTCAATTTGTGGCTTGCAACTTCAGATAAACAGCAGTGGACTTACATTACATTTTTCCCTAAATCTTTTTGATAGAAACATAATTTGTACTTTTTTAAATATATTATCAGTGGTTTGGTGTAAAATAGTTAATCCAGTTTTGCCGACCGAGGTAACGATTTGCCGAGTTGGCGCCTCCCCTGACTGTATATGGTAAAACCAACAATCAACATTTAATTTGTATGACTTGTTGATATTAATAAATAATAATATGTATATATTTGTCGCTACAAGAAATAAAACAAACGTTTGTATGATTGTATTTAGCTTTTAGTCTATTTCACGCAGCCTTCTTCTATCTTCGTGAAATAATTTACCCTCCCCCCCTGTCACGTCCCTGTTCATTTGTCACGCGAGATTTGAACGGAATGAAATTTTGAATGAAATTTTGAAAGACTAGTGAGCAAGATCTTACAGGGTGATAAAATGCTGCATTTCGCATATTTCATTTGTATTTTTATTTTAATACCCTTAACAAAGGGTTAAATTTGTATTTGTGCAATGGATATGGCGTGAATGGAAGAGTAACGAGGCCGAATTGTTGACAACCGACATCGGATGACAAAATGGCGCCGAATTTGGACAAAGTTGTGGATTTACCTTGTTGATGCTTAAACAGGTATGATCTTCTTGAAACCAAGTTGAAACTTGTTTAAAATGTTCTTGATACCATTATGTCTGAGATGATTTACATTTTTTGTAGGATGTCGACGAGATCGCCGATAAACAGCGGAGTAAAGTGGAGAACTTGGCCAAATACGTCCATTTGCAGGAGGTAGGCACATTTCAAATTATTATTTCGGTCAGAAAATATTAACTATTTTACACCAAACCAGTGATAATATATTTAAATAAGTACCAATTATGTTTCTATCAAAAAGATTTAGGGAAAAAGGTAATGTAAGTCCATTGCTGTTTATCTGAAGTTGCAAGCCACAAATTGACGTTTAACTATGATTATTGCATGGTCATTTTCTTGTGAAATATTAGTGCTAGGCATTTCACACTTACCAATGACCACCCCCAAAAGTACCATCTCTGAACCATATAAGCACCTCAGAATAGCCAAAGCTTTTTATGGTTTGGTAGGTAGCAGTATGGTGAAAGCGTCGTTTTTGGGTGTGGTCAGTTTCGGACGTTTCGCCTCAGATTGGGGTTCGGGCAGCGTTACCATGTTGACTGCCATGATCAACTTGCCCCAAAACAGTTTAGATTATCTGTCCTAAATGAAATGCATACGAACTCATATACAGTTCCTAGACTACAAGACCAAACTTGAGATAGTGTTAAATAAATACTTTAAATATCATATTTCTAGAATTTTACATGCCGTGTATTTTGTATCATTTAAAACTATGCAGTGCATAGTAAATTATCGATAATAGTGCATAATAAATAAGCAATAGTAGTGCATAATAAATAAGCAACGGACAATTGGAAACGTAAAGGGGAGTGGGGTGGGGGGTGGGGGAATCTAGGCAAGAAAAAACTTTCTGAAAAAAATCCATACAACCAGAAGATGGCAGAATAAATATCACATGACACGAAAGAAAAATCATGCACATCAAGTGAGCCGTCAAAATCCATTACTGTCAGAAACTCGCAGTCAGTCCCCCCCCCCGCCCCCCTCACTTTTCTAATGGTTCGTGCCTAAATAAAACTGAATGGTTGTTCTTCACAACATTCAACATGTCACAAGGATTCACCGGTTCTGAAAATGACATAATGAAATTATAAGTCCTTTAAAACAAGCTCTTCCAAATGCAATTCATATAATTCACATTTACTGTAAGATCGATTAATTCAGCATTTATATCAATTGACATGCACTAATTATCAAATGATCTATTTAATTAAATTATTCTCAAAAATTAATAATAAATGAGACTTAATTAAATCGCCCAAATTTTGAGGTGAGTCACCCGGTTTTTTATTCCTTGACATTCTCTTTGTGCATCAGCCCAGTATCGGACGATACAATCAACTGAAAATGTTGGTGATTATGAGATTATCATACTGCAAAACAAAAGCTCGTCCCGACGCAAAGTGTGAACGTGCCTTTCATCAAAATCTAAAGTCGATTGACGACAAACTACCTAATCAAAGAATCTCGGTTTCTCTGCAAAGAACTTCTTCATAGTGGTTATCCATGCCAATTCCTGAATCCTAAAGATAATTAACTTTCTTTAGAACATGTACTATACGCCTATTTTATTGAGTTCAATTATATGTAATTACAAAATTTGAAGGATTTTGTGGATGGAAATTTCGAGCAAAATATATAGAGTCGCATATTTTAGACCTAACTGAGGGCAGTTGGAGAAATGCAAATTTTGACTCCCCGGCAGGAGTCGGATGTATTCCCTGCGTTTTCGGTGAGCTACTATTGATCAAGTCCACGTCTATACTTGAGTGGTGCTAGTTTATAGCAAAGTTTATTAGATATTTAAAAAGATAGTAATAAGCATATACATGGTACTTCAATTTATGTAAACATATACCAACTGGTTTACCCAATATATATATATATATATATATATATATATATATATATATATATATATATATATATATATATATATATATATATATATATATATATATATATAATTAAAAATGTTATTGTAACCAGGATTAGACATATTATTAAGATGTAGAAAGGTTGACGCTGGTTTGATAAAAAAACGTTAAAAACTACGTTTATTTAAAAAGATGTTAAGACGTTTCGACCAGTAACTTAGGTCTTCGTCAGTTAAAAAGTTAACTAGGTTCAAAACTGAGCAATATATATATATATATATATATATATATATATATATATATATATATATATATATATATATATATATATATATATATATATATATATATATATATATATATATATATATATGTTCCGGGTTAATTAGCAGATAAGTGTTTTATACACATCCGGTATTTCGATATGGTCGTTTCCTGCGTTATGATCCTTGAGGGAATACCAAGCTTCTAAGAACAGACGTTCGCGGTAGTTTTTTGTTTTGTTGACAATGGTGGCATTACTGAAGTCAATTCGGTGATCGTATTGTTCAACATGCGGTACCACTTCGCCCCATTACAAGTTGGCATTAATTTCTCAACATACAACCTCTCGAAACACTTGGTCAAAATATTATTCCCACTCGTCAGGGGGAAATATACAGTTAGGAACAGTTTTGCCATTTCTCAACAAATTATACATCGACAAATTGCAGGCGATGAAGTCATGGTATCATTCGATGTTGTATCTTTGTTCACATCTATTCCCACCAAACTAGCCCTTCAGGTGATCAAACAGAGGTTACAACAAGACATATCGTTGACACAAAGAACAGACATATCTATTACGAACATCACAAAATTATTAGATTTCGTCCTTCAGAACAGTTTCTTCACATATAAGAATGAATATTACCAACAGATCTCAGGTTGTGCTATGGGGTCACCTATTAGCGCTACTGCAATTGCTGACATAGTTATGGAACATGTGAAAGAAACTGCAATTTCTACAGCACCGCATTCCCCGCGATGGTGGTTCAGATATGTCGACGATAGCCATTCCTGTCTGAAGAAAAACCAGGTGAACGAATTTCACCACCACATCAGTTCCATTAACTCATTTTTACAATTCACCGTCGAACTGAAAGAAAACCGACGCCTCCCGTTCCTGGATACCGTGGCTATATCCGGTGTAACGGCAAAGTAGAAGTCGATATATACCGAAAACCTACTCACACAGACAAATACCTGCACTACGACTCAGACCATCCCAAACAACACAAACTGTCAGTCCTAAATACTCTCCTCGACAGAGCTGAGAAAATTCCCTCGTCCAACAGAGGAAAACGCAGAGAAAGAAGACATGTATTTACAGTCTTGAGAGACAACGGTTACCCACTTAAGTTTATAAAGTCTTACGACATCAAGAGAAAACGCCTTCATACTGATAACACCAACGGTAATTTGCATACAACTGATGTCAACAACAACAGGACAAACCCCGCTGATTGTGCGCTCCTAGCTTTGTAGTCTTACCGTATGTTAAAGGCGTTACAGAAAAGATTTCCCGAGTATTAAGGAGAGAAAATATCAAAGTGTGCTACAAACCTACCAGTACCCTTTCCCACCAATTCCCCAAAACCAAAGACAAGTTACCACCCGAGCAGACAAGCGGAGTCATTTACAAAATCTGTTGCTGCGATTGTGACTTTGCATATTACGGCCAAATAGACAGAGCATTGAAAACTAGAATAAAAGAACACGAACGAGCTGTTTCGCAATTTGATCAATATTCAAAAATCGCTAAGCATGCTGAACAATACGATCACCGAATTGACTTAAGTAATGCCACCATTGTCAACAAAACTAAAAACTACCGCGAACGTCTGTTCTTAGAAGCTTGGTATTCCCTCAAGGATCATAACGCAGGAAACGACCATATCGAAATACCGGATGTGTATAAAACACTTATCTGCTAATTAACTCTGAACCTATATATATTGTTCAGTTTTGAACCTAGTTAACTTTTTAACTGACGAAGACCTAAGTTACTGGTCGAAACGTCTTAACATCTTTTTAAATAAACGTAGTTTTTAACGTTTTTATCAAACCAGCGTCAACCTTTCTACATCTTAATAATATGTCTAATCCTGGTTACAATTTTAATATTTTTAATCTATATATATATATATATATATATATATATATATATATATATATATATATATATATATATATATATATATATATATATATATCTATATATCTATATATCTATCTATCTATCTATCTATATATCTATATATCTATATATATATATCTATATATCTATAT